AAAGATTATATGGGTTTCGAGCTCAGATTATGGTGTTTTTTGAGGTTATGGCGGAACCCCGACCCGATAGAGTTTAATGGACCTCGGATTCGGATTCAGCGACCCCAAAAACATATAATAAACATGGTCTGATCCCCAGGCCAAAGAAATTTTTTTTTTTTGTGTGGCTGTGTAATGTATTCTTGTTTGCAATAAAAAGTAACTTAACTTTGTTTTATACCAATTCAAAATTTTAATGCACTAAAGAAATCTCAAAGAACTATGTATCTGGTAAGATACATTGGTTGAATACCTTATATTTGAAATATATAAATTTCAGATTTGAAGACATGTCTTAGCTTTCCAAAGGCTGCTCATGCCATTTTAATTCGTCTTTTAATCTCGCAAGTCTAATTATCTCTGCTAATTTTAATCTTATGGCTCAAATATTTGTAAGACGTAATCTGAGTAATTTCTTTGCTTTTTACCAGATTATTGCGGGTAAGTTTATCATAAATAGTGTCTTATATTTATTTTAAGAGCCGAACTCGCGTTGTAAAACTGATGTAAATCTTACAAGTAATGTTTCTGCTTTTTCCAAGTTGACCGAAATTAACACGACATCATCAGCAAAGCGTAAATGATAAAGATTTTCTCCGTTTATATTTATGTTTATGTCCTTCAAATCGATGCACTTGAACATGTATTTTAAATTTTAAAGAGATAAGCAATTAAGAAGCAATTATATTATCATGGCAGACAGCTCGTTTTATTTTGAATATGTCTGTTTTCTCATGTATTTTTATACATGCTGTTGCAGTTTTGTATACATGTTGACAGAGTACCTATTATTTCGGAGTCCTTATAACCTCTGCATATATCAGACATTAAAAGTTGCATAAACGTGGAAGAGAGTTATGACTATTTTTTCTACTAAAGTAAGGAAAAATATAAACTGTTTTTTAAGCATAATTTATAAAAGTAAAAATATAATACAACACAAGTAAAAAATTAAAACTAAAATTATCAAAATCAAAATATAAAAAAATTACTATCTCGAAAACGACTTGCAGACTTACGTTTATTGAGATGGTTACGCATCGGCAACACCTCCGATATAACTTTTTTTAATAAACTGTTTTGAAACTTGGCATAAAATAACTACAAACTATCTACTTTAAATGTTTGATAGAAAATTAATTCAGAAAATGGATGCGAGGAAATTTTTTGGTAAATATTCAGAAAAACAGAACATCCTCGGAGATCAATGATCTTGACATATGTTGTCAAGGGCACTTTCCTGAACAGCAATCATGAAGTTTTAGACCTCGCTCGTTGTTTGTTAAAAAGTTATTAACAAAAGAAATTGCGTCAATAAACTGTTATTTTCCGACACCGTGTACATTTTGGTCATGTTGTAAGCATGTACGCAAGGAGGGGCCTTGCCTTTCCGCAAACTAGGTATACAATCTTGATATGAAACGACACTTAATTGAATTCTTCATTTTTTCTCGAAAGGGAAGCAAGGGAAAAGGGCAAAGCCCCCTGCCTAAACACGAACAAAATGTGCACGGTATCGAAAAATAAGAGTTTATTTATGATATATTTTTTGTTAACTCTATCTGGACCAAATTTTTTTCATAAGTAAAAAAATTTATGTAACGTAAAATCAACAAATATCAACTTGTAAATATAGATTAACAAGAAATTCAGCAGTTTCAACAATTTTATTATAACAAATACGTTTTGAGTCAGAATCTAATAACGAATCTTTGGATCTATTACCGCTAATGCTTCTTAGTGTTCTTTTATTTTTATATGATTTTGTAGTCATATTTCAGGCTTCTGATATATAAAACTAAAAAGTAAAGAAAATACAAGCGTTATCACGAATGTACTGAACTCTATCATTATAGATCCTTGTGACTTAAAAGTCACAAAACTATATCATATAAAAATAGTAACAAACTAATTAATTAAATGAAAACAAATAAGATATTTTTTTTTAAATATAAAGGTGTTGATCATGGCTGTTTGAAGTTAACACTGTTGCTGATGTGTATATTTGTTGAATTAATTTATTGAAAACAAGTTACATAATGTTTTCAATAAATTAATGACATTTTTTAAAAGTTAGTTTTGATAGACTCAAGTTTTTGAACAGTATAATTATAAAAAACAATAATAGATTAATACATGGCTAGTATTACAAGCCAACGTTCTCAGGCAGATATTTTAATTATTTTTCTAATTATCCTGTCTGTCAAAAAAGAGGCACGGTCATGGGTCTTGTGGGCAGAGCCTTTTTTTTATCAAATCCTAAATTCCATTCAAAGAATTTTGACTTGATTTTTAATGTTTTAATTGACAACAATTATCCTCGTGACTTTATTTATGACATTTTTAAACAGAGACTGAAACATAATTTTTTTAAAAACTATGACTTAAGGAGGTTTTTGTCGACCAATACTTTAAATGATGTGCAGCTTCTTTGGTTTGTGATGCCTTATATCAATAATTTTTCTGAAAAATTTTTAAAAGTATTTTCAAAAGATATTAATAGACGCTCAGCCTTTTATAGTATTGATAAATTGTCTAGATTTATTAATGTTCTTAAGGATCCTTTTCCTCCATCCACACGTCTTTCTGTTGTATATAAAATAAATTGCCGTGATATATTGTGATGCATCATATGTCGGACAGACTGGGAGAATGTTGCAAGCGGAAATCAAAAAAACATAAAAACCATATCAATAGAAATTCCTCTCAAAG